CGATTGAAGTAATAAATATAACAATGATACTTTTTTCTGCGTTACGAGGCTATTGTGACGGATTCTTTTCTTGTTAATACAAGAAAATCACGCGATTATTCTATTTACCGTAGCTTTTACAGCCTCAGTTGTTCATCTATGTTGTTTTACATTAACAAAAATTATTCATACAAAATTTCTTATCGTTATTTACTTGTTATTTCGACACTTGTTATATGTTCGTTAATTATTTGTTGTTGAATGTTAGTTCAAAAGATAATATAATAATTCTATTGAATGTCATCTAAACCACATGATTATTATATGATGTATTAGACAAAAAAAATCTTTAGAGTATTTTTTAATTCATAGCTTTATTAACTGATTTTATTAATTTTCAGTTTTAACTAGTTCTATGGGCAATATATATATATATATATATATATTCATTGTTTAATATTTATTTCATATTTGAAAAAGATCACGTGTATATCTAAGAAAATTATTTGTAATTTATTTTAACCTTATGAAATATTATTATACTGGAAGCGAATTATAAACTAATTTTTTATCATAAATTTTTCTACATTACTTCTATATTCTTTATTATTCATATTTTACAGAGAGTCCATAGAATTTTGTAATTTTTCTTCTACATCATGCAATTCTTTTCTGTTAAGTGATCAAAAGTATTCACAAATAGATTTAAAATCCATTTATAAAAGTCCGTTAAAATTTATTTGTTTCTCAAATAATTTTTCAACCACAATTTTTGATTACTCACGTCGATTTCTGCTTTTGTTCTATCTATTTAAAATTTTAGTAATTTATTTTATTTCCGAATTATGTTTTTATTAATAAGATTTTTATTTTATTCTGCTTTCGATGAATATTATTTGTAACGTAAAACTTTTTAAATAATGAAAACAAAAATTCTTAGTAATTATTCTTTAGTAATTTTGTCTAATTTATTTATTTTAGTATTAAAATTTTTAATGTCTAAATATCTTAAGTTAATAAAGAATTTTATAAATATTCATATTCATTCCATATGAACGAGTATTCATAATAAGTTTTTAATGTTAAATTTTTATATATAAATTACAAATTGCTTAAAAAAATGTAGCATATATATCAATTAAAAATCATATAAGAGTTTTTTTCTATTTCTTTGTTTTTTTTTATCGATTAATCAATCTTTATGTCTTCTTGTTTATGAAAAAATTTACAATCTTTGGCTTTTAAAAAGAAATTATTTTTTTTAATATATCCATCTAATCAGTAGCGGTTAAAACAATTTTATATATATTATTTCTTAATTTATTTTTAGCGTCATCTTAATAATTATGAAAATATTTAATGTTAATGTTAATGAAATATAAAAGTTGCATAAAATGAATAATTAAAATTGCAATATTTAATATATCCCTTTTTAAACAATAAAATTATTTTTCTATTTCCTATATGTATTTTTACTCTTATTTCTTATGCTATTCAATTTTCTTTTTTTTTTTTTTCACTTACATATTATTATTTACAATTTAATATTTATCTGATACTATTCTTAAATAACTTCTTTTGTTGAAATCCTAACGTCTGTACTTGATATATATTTTATATAATTTGTACGCGTCACTACAATTATTATACCTGCCAATTCTCTCTTTCATATCGATTTTTCACATAGTTTTCTCAAGTATAGTTACGTACTTTCTTCTTAGCCTTCAATTATTGGATTTAATATCAATCTAAAGTGTTTATGGACCTGTCTTTAGTTATTAATGTTTCTTTTATATTTCATCTAGAATTTTCAAAAATAGCTTATCCACGATATTTCTACGTTTATTTTGTTCTTTATTAAATAACAATTATATAAAAATGTAATTATCATGAGTTTTTTTATTCGTTTTCCAATTTTCGTAGAATTTATTTATTCTTCTTTGTTTTCGTAAATAATATTTATCTCACTAATTGATTTTACCTTTTCTTCATTTTTCTTTGCCTTCGGATTCACAAACAATTATTTATAACTTGATTTTTTAACTTTCAACATCATGTTACTTCTTTCTACTCTTCTTCATATTTAACAATACATTATTAATTGATATTAAATTTTACTCATTTCTATGAACAAATGAAAAATTGTTAATATACTTATATTACGTTCTCTTTTATTATATGCAGATTATTATGGCATATAAGAAATATCGAATTTATATGTATATTCTCACAACTTGAAAATCATTTTCGAATTATGCGTCCAGACTAAATTTGTCAATACTGTATTTTAATTTAAAGTTTATCGAATACTTTCATACAGTTCATTAAATAGATATTTACTCGTATTTTCGCATAATTTTATAAAAATTTGCATCGGATTACTATATAAAAAATTTATATTTTCGTGAAGCTGTAAAAAAATTTGTGTCTTTATTTAATGAATTATTGCTTATTTATTATATTCAAAGAAAGACGTTCATTCAAATTTTTCGATAATATTCCAAAACATATTAATTAAATTTCCTTTTAATTAATTTCAATCGTTATAAAATACAGAATATTTAATAGTTCACTTAGCATTAAATAATAGTTAAGCCGAATGCTTAATATCTTTGAAATTTTTACAAATACCATTTATTATTCGGATATTTAATCCCACATTTAATTTATTGAAATCAAACAATATATTAAAAGATATATAAAATTCTAATTCTCAAATACTGAAATTCTTAATAATATTACTTTCAATTCTCAAGATGAAAAATCAAGGTGTCTTACTAATTTTTCGATAAAAATGATTGTTAATTTAATGCTGTTCTCTTATCACAATATATTTGATATCTGAAAAACAACGTAACTTTTATTACTCCCCCCCCCCCCCCCCCGGCCCACACACATTCAATTAAATATTGTAAATGATAAATTATATAAATGAATATTTATGTATAATTGAACATTTAATTGAACATTTATATTAATTGATAGTTTATGCTTTTATGAAAATCTTAGTAGGCTCATACACAAAGAATAAAATACGTTATTAATGAGAACTAAATTTTTTCATGATATTCCTTTTTAATCATTCAGTTTTACAAAACACACGAAAGTGCTACGACCTGCAATTAAGCTCGGTTGGTCATATTTATGTCACTTAATGACTATTTCATTCGATTCCTCAAGGCTCGTCGGGTACATTCGAATAAATCGATGGGGCATTTGCTTTGTTTCCCAATTTTATATAACCTTTCATTGGATTATTTTGCACATTGACGTAGCAGACCATTTATTAAAGCCGAGCTTATTTCTGCAAATTCAATGAACAGAATTTGATAATTAAATCAATTGCATGTGTCTCGCGCAATAATAAGTTCTCGTGTGATAATCCTTTGCTGAATTCTACATGGAATTACGGCATCGACATCATAATGTGATATGTAATTGTTACGCGTATAATGTCGCTGAATTAACGTGGCGAATTTTTCGAAACTAATGTCGGTAATTCGTAATTTTGCTTGCTAGGATAGAAAATAGACTAGTAATTTTATCATCATGCGCAAATTAAATTAATTAATTAACTTTTAGTTTTGTCGTAGTTGTTAAATATAAGGTACATTACTAGACTATTTAAACATATAATCATATTAGAAAAAATGTTAACGATTTGAAGAATAAGCAATGAATTACATAAGGTTAAAATAAATAATGTTCTTGCATCTCAAAGTATTATAATCAAATAAATAAAATAATAATTTGCAGTAAAATTCATTATTTATCTGTTTTTTTTTTTTTTTTTTTTTTATAACAACTTTTAACTTAAGATAATAACAATTATTAAGAACGGATATGTTTTATAGGAGGGTGTGAGAAAGTGAAATATATCACCACTTAACGTCATACGTAAATAGCAGCGGCGCCTGCGTCGAGCAACCCGGAAAGTTGACGCGTAAAGCGATACTCCGTTTACAGGGGTTAATTTTTATCAATAGTTTTTTCTTTCTAATAGTCATTAAAAGAAATTGCCCGTCTTTTTTATATTTTATTTTTTTACTTTCTTTTTTTTTCTAATTATTTTATAGCATACAAATTATATATTATCATCAATCAATTGTTCGAGTCGAGCTTTCAATTATGTTATACAAAAGATTATAAATGGCATAAATTTTTATTAAATATTATTATACCTTGTGCACTTATAACTTCTATTCAATACCCCATAATTCATTATAAAATATACATTACGTATATTATCGTCTATCTGTCATATAAAAATATTCTAACTCTAATAGAATAGTGTCGGTTTTTATAATCCGGCCAGAGATTCTTTTATGAAAGTAATGCATAGGAATTTGAAAATAATAGAAATATTCAATGGAAAAATACCGGCGTTGGTATTTCTTTATTGAAATTATTGATTATAAAACTCAAATGCCTTTTACAACTAGTAAATTAAACGAATTAGAGTGTTTTATATATATTGTCAAACATTAATCGAGTGAAAGAGGAATTAATTAGTTATATGGAGAGATGTAAGAAAGAAATTTTTGATAATCTATTGATATCATATATATATATATATATATATCTTTGCTTTTTTTCTTAACCATAAATCAGATAAAAGTTAATAATGCAAAATATTGATGAATTTTTTTCTTAATGAAACCGTCGAATAAATTTGATGAAATTGTGTTAAAAAAAAAAATTTTAAAACAACAGGTGATAATTATTGCAATTTATGAAAAATTTATGTGAAAGAAGGCCAGATTGAATTTGCAGTTTGGCCAAATTGAAGTTGCAGTCTGTTAAATAAGGCAGGATTAATGAATCGGTTGATTAGCAATCAGATGAGTTTGCGAGGAGCTGCACTCGATCCTTCCACAATCCACAATCCCGATTTGTCCAACGCGTATCGAAATAACAATGACGCTTATGAAATTTAGAAGCAATAGAAAATTTAGCATAATTAGCCGCTAACTAACCCATCTCGGGTTAGCACTGAATAATCCATAACTTTTCTGTTGCAGAGGTCGAGGAGCGACCGCCGGGGAAGGCGCGCGGGGGTAAGTTAGCGCGTCGTGCGCGCTCCTTCAAGGAGGACTTCTTGGAGAAGCTCTCGCAGATGCGGTCACCCGGGGGAGGTGGGGGCGGTAGTGCCGGCGGTACGCGGGCCGTCTCGCCCTCGTCGCCGAGGACACCTCGGGAGCCACTAGGAGCCGGCGCTGCGACTACCACCACCGCCGCCGTCTCCGCTGCTGGCGAGCAGCTCGACAAGAACCCGCTGCGCGACCTCCATGTCCATGTGCGCCAGGTGCAGCTGGCTCTCCTGCACTTTCGCGACGTCGTCTCCAAGAACAAGCTAGAGATGCTTCCGGGCAACGGGACCGTCGTACTTGACACAGTCACCACCATACACACCCTCCTCAAGTCGTATCTGCTTTATGAGAACAGGTGAGTGAGAGGGAGGGAGAGTTGGGCGTCGTCTGCCACGTAGCTCAAACTTTTCTTTATTCCCTTACGTACGAGGGTTATTGGGCTTATTGTCGCGGTGTGTAATACGGAGAATCGAGGCGTTGTGGCCTCGGAACGATATTTCCCGTCTATCGATCGTATAGCGGAAGCCGTAGTGTGCGGTAATATGTGGGCTTTGAATGCCCGAGGATTGCGAGCCGATTTTATTATTCGCGAGGATATTTAGGGATTGGAGAAGTAATCAATTTAAGAGATATTTATATGTGTAGGTGAAGAAATTGGCTACGTATCGATTGATTTTATGAGACATAAATAAGCCACCCTGTATAACGACATGCCTATTCCATTTGACTTGTAAAACTAATTTATAATGTAATAAGAATGTCATTTTAATTTGCATTTTAAGTAAATAATTGTTCTTCTATGAATGTCATTTGCGGGATGAATTTGCTTATTATTGAGCTTTTGCAAGGATTTCACATTCGTTATATTGTATTGTGAACAATTTGTTTAAAGTGAATCTGTATTTAATTATAAAAACTTTATAGCATTAACAATACATGCAATGATTTTTCTTTGTACCTTAAGCATTACAAAGAACATTTTGTGCTTTATGTAATTTAAAAAGAATTTTATCTGGCTTTGTGCAACATTTTTTTTTTCTTTTTTTTTTCATTTATTACTGATAAATACATTAGTTTTTCGTGTATATTCATTGATTCTACAATAATTACTCTATCATCTAAAGACATACGAATAAACAAACAAAACAAACAAACAAAAACAAAAAAAATTAGACAAGGAGATTAGTATTATCATTAATATTAATTTTGTATTGGAAATAAAGTGCTAAATTTTGTTGAAATAAAAGTTGCGTAAGAATTTAGAAAAATCAAACGTCTTTTTAAAATTCTAATATAATAATGATTGGATTAATGTTGATACACGTAGTGTTAACACATAAATATCCTTTTTAAATTACGTTTTATATTGAAGGATCTATTTATATAAAAAGAATTCTCCAATGCTGTAGCCGTGAAAAAAAATTATATATGTAATACGTAAATTTTAAATAAGACTTTTATTACATTTTTTAAAAAGTTTTCTAAATATGAGATGCTATTATGCATTATACTTTATATATCATTGTGGCAATGTTTCATGTAAGCTATGAATTCTTTTAATGAAAAGCATTAAGTGCATACTAAATTTGAGTAGACTGTAACGGTATTTTAAAATTTTTTACATACATTCCGACATACCTGAATTTCATATTTACAAAAATAATTAATGTATATTTTTATGAAGTTAGTACTTTGCAAGGTTTTCTTGAATTCATTGTGTAAATACATTGTTGGGAAAAAAGTCATCATAGAGTGATAAAATTTCTCTTGATATACGATTAATTTTTCTGCCGTCGTATTTTTTTCCGATTTAAACACATGACATGCATTAAATAAAGAAAGTCATAATTTTGTTTAAATTCATTCATGATTAGTCACATCGAATAAAGAATATACATAATAAGCTCTTCCCTACAAATGGCAAACTTTAGAAGTTACGAATATGTTCTCGATCAATTCTCATAAAGTACCGTCGATTCGATTAGTAAAATCTTCTTTCAATAAATACTAATAATAATAATAATAATAATAATAATATGAAATACAATTTTTACAAAAATGAAAGAATAATGAATAATTGGATTAAGATTGCTTGATAGAGAAAATAAATGAATAGTGTAAGGTGCATCGTTTATTTCGTCAAAAAAAAAAAAAAAAAAAAAAAAAAAAAACCTGTGAAAACAATAACATTTATGCTCTTTGTAGTAAAAGCCATCCGCTAATGAAAAAATATCATACTTCATACGATAATATGTTTTATTAATAAAAATCATTTTATAAAAGTCATTGTTTCGAAAAGTCCACTGAACGTAATAAAAATGTATTTTGCTCTATTAAATAAAACTTAGGCCTCATGGGTAAAGCGCGAGACAATAATTCAAAATCTCGTCCAATACCTATGACTTGGCGATTCTGCCTTAATTAATTCCCCCGAGTTGAGCAGTAATTCCTCATCAATGACTTAGTCAGAATGTGCATAATAAAATTGTGGCATTGGGGTGCGGTCAAAGGGATAATAAAGCATAGATGCTGGCCCTTTAATATCGAATATTTCAATTAATTGGCCATCAACATTAGCACGATATACTGGAAAGTGTGCGCCAGTGTAATTGGACGTTGAAAACGAAAGGTTGTAGGTAGGATTAATTGTCCTGGGTTTTCAGCTCGACGCTCGGCTCGGCGACGAATCAGGTTTATCAGGCGCTGGCGCAGCTACTAAAGCTCTGCGACGATGTGCTCCTGCACGGCGATCAGTCCTCGGCACTCGACACGGCCAACGTCACCCACGTCATTGGACTCGTCGAGGACGCCGTGAAGAATCTCGTGGAGCTCGCGCAGGAAAAGATCTCCAACAAGCAAAAGCCAGCATTGCAGACCGCCAGCAATAGGTTTGACGGAGATAGAATTCCTTTTGGACGGATGCTTTTCGAGAAATGAGAGAGATGAGAGAGAGATATATATATACATAGATAGATAGATAGATAGATAGATAGATAGATATATATATATATATATATATATATATATAGAGAGAGAGAGAGAGAGAGAGAGAGAGAGAGAGAGAGAGAGAGAGAGAGAGAGAGAGAGAGAGAGAGAGAGAGAGAGAGAGAGAGAGAGAGAGAGAGAGAGAGAGAGAGAGAGAGAGAGAGAGAAAGAGAGTCGCGAGAGGTGGCGTGTGATGCGTGCGATAGGCAATTACGTTAATAGTACATGACAACGAGGAATATCCAAATATTCGTACGACTAATGACGCGGCCAATGGAATCACAGAGTACTCCTTACAATGCATTTAGCGATGCAATTCGTCGCTTTGATTAAAAAGTAATTAACGAGAGGCTAATCATTCTTTCCAATGATTTTTTAATATTTGTAGTCGTCGATAATTCGTTATTCGTGGGTGGGAATATATTTCCAAGGGGCTAAATGCAATGTAAAACTGTTGAATGTCGGGGCATTGTATTTTAGGAGAAAATATTACTTGTTTTAATAAGAAATTGGAGTATCGCGAAGATAACGAGAATATTATAGAATAGTGAACGTTATTAAGCTGTGCCTAAATATTCAAATACCTAATTTTTATAATTCCATGTTACGAATGCTTAGTTAAGTAGGGTCATAGTCAAATAATGATAATAAAATTTTACTAAATACATGAAAATATCGAAGCATTCTTTTATTATTATTCCATTAATTCAATTTATTAATTCAATTTTTTAAAGATTAATTTTTTACTTCGTCGCCAATTTCAGAGAATTATGGTTTCCCTAAATTAGAAGGAACATGGAGATTACGATTTATCGTTTTATGTAATTTGTATAAAAACTCTCCTGGCTCATTATATTGTATTAAAGAATTTTTTTATTCTATTAATTATCCGTGCAAGCATACACATGAAAATTTTTATGCCAATTTTTTATATTTATTTTCATTTTTATGCCAGAGCTGGCACTGTTTAATGTCAGCATTCGCCTCCCATCCTCATCCTTCACTGTCCTTTTCACTCTCACGAGAGAGCTCTCTCTCTCACTCTCTCTCACTCTCTCTCACTCTCACTCTCTCTCTTTCTCTTTCTCTTTGTATTTATCTCAATAGCGCCTGAGAGCTATACAGATTTGATGGCGATAACGCGAGGAGTGAAAATTCCAAGTAAAACGAGTGTTGCACTTTATGAAAGCCCTCGTAGTAACGAACTTGGTGATCGTAAGTCTCCTGCACGTATTGCCGATCCTCTTGAATCTCGTACACCTCTCACGCTTATCGGTCACCCGGTCTAACGCACTTTTCCACAGGACATCGGGCTACAGCTCCGAGTTGACGCCCCAACGCAGTTCCCTGCCGGACATCCCGCTGACGCCGAGGGAGCGCCAGATCCTCGAGCAGACCGCGGCCTCGAGCGCCCTCGTCAGGAGCTCCCACAGCTCCGAGTCCATCCTCAGGGATTCGAGTCCGCCGCCCCAGCCTCCGCTGCCCGATAGGTGAGTATCCGAGCCCCGAGAGCAAGGGTGTGGTCATCCACTTGGGATTCGGCCGCGAGACGCCATATCGTCGAGGAGAACAAGCGGCTTCGCGGAAGCCAAGGGATTCCGTTTTTCTAGCACCGGTTTTCCGACGACGGAGATGTTTTTTGCCGCGTCAGGACCAATCGGGCCAATACGTGATTGCCATAGTTCAAGAGATTTTGTCCGGGAGGCCCAGCATTTCCGAGGCATCGCTTACAACTTGGAAATTATTCGACGGCTCGGTTCATCAGCGAACAACGCTTCGGTCTTCGGCAAAAATGGCCTTGACGCTTTTGGGGACGCTATTGGCGCGCAGAAATTTATGGAATTCCATTATTATTATTATGGCTAGCGATAAAATGTCATAAGCAATAATCGTGTTCGGAGAAATAGTATTGTTGCACGGTACCCCCGTACGAGCCTACCCGGCTCCGGAATAAGTATAATTACGCATTAAATGGCGATGATCGATACTAATATTAATTATTATAATATCGATCGTGCGACAAGACAACTGTCTTGAAAAGAATGGAAAATTCATGTCATTGTCTGTAATTGAACGAGTCTCGATGAAAAATATTCGTAAAATATGTAATTTTATGTATAATACAGTAAAGGGAAAAACTTGCACAACATAATACATTGTCCCATTCCTGTTTCTTATTAAATTTCAAAATCTTGTCTATTTATATGCAAGTAGATATAATAATACAAAATACATGTTAACGCGTTATCCGTGTCTTATTGAGAATTCTAATGCTAAAATAAAGAATAAATTTTATTTTACTTTGGAAAAGTAATCATCTCTATTTAATGGCTGTTGTTGTAAATTCATCTGGATCATGCAAAATTCCTTTTTCGACATACGTACTACCGAAATTTATGTAATAGTCGAACGAAAGTTTGTAATACCGTTAGGACTTTGGTAAATTATGATTATAATTAACGAGCATTAATACGTTGAAATTGTGGTGGCTCCGTGAATTTTACGATTAATGAAAAACATATTTGAATAAACATTTCGAGAAATGCAAAATATTTAAAATAACGTGCTATAATAATTGTTAATTAAATGTAGATTAAAAACTGTAACTTAGGCATGTATTTGAACATTCCGATACGCTGATGTATAATTAAGAAAAAAAAGGAGAAAAATTTTTCTCCCCAAAACATTATTAAATAATTAAGATAGTCTGTAAAGAAAAAAATCAACAACAGAAAGCATTATTCAGTAGTGCAAGGATTAATTAAATAACAACTATTTGAAATATTATTAAAACGTTTGGACTTAAAACGTCAGGATTACGTTCACTTACAATTTCTCCACTATAATGACAGAATCATGAATTAGATGAATTTCAATAAGAATTGCTTAAATACGTGTACTGCAATCAGCAAATTTAGCTTCAACAAACTTTTTATGTCTAAATATGGCTAAATGACTTGATCGTAATAGATTGCGTTCGAATAGTCAACAAATTGATGAAATTGTCGCGTATTTCTAAGAATTAGTGCGACCCAATTATGTAAATCCTTAAAATAAGTATAGTTTCCGGCAAAATGTGATTTAAAATTAAAACAATAACAAAATGTTAAAAAACATTCTACACGTAGAGATATAAAAAAAAAATAAAAAAAATATTCCAAAGGAAAAAAAAAAAAAAAAAAAAAAAAAAAAAAAAAAAAAAAAAAAAAAAAACAAAACAAATATATATATATATTTTATTGAAAAATTTATAATAATTTATAATAAAATTTATAATATCTTTATAATAACGCAATCGATCGTTATTTCGTATTTCTAGATGAATATTATCTAAAAATAAGCCTCTTTAAACGGTTTTTTGCGCATAATTAATTATTCACTATAACGATCGTTTCTAGCCAGTCGCGTTAATTTCTCACCACGGGTAATTCAGTTTTTAATTAAGACAGGGAACAAGAAAATGACCGAAAAAAGGGTTAAACACTTAATAAGGTACATTTATACATTAGTTGTTAAGTGACACTGCACTAGGCATTTAACACTTTTGTAGAAAGTGAGGAAAATCCAATTTCTTACCTATAATTACATTCGATAATAAAAAAAGTTATCTGTTTAATAGATAAGCATAAACTTAATTGAAATGAAGAAATAAACTTAAAAAGTTCGTTTCAATTGGTCATGATATAAGTCTTGAGAGGTGATTATCACTATTGAAACATAATATTTAAATTATCGTGAAAATTATTATATCGTCGATTTTTTTAAATTACTTACAAAATTTAGTCGTCGGCCACGTGCCGACTTATAGAATATTTTATAAACTAAAATTACTAGCAGTTTCGCTGTTTCTGTGTACTTGAGAGAGATTCTTCTTCTTTACGACATTGGTCAGCATTAGGAATCACAGGCTCTTATCTTCTCTTTCGTGTACGTTTATGAAACGAAAACGACATTTACTTTCCGCGGCCGTACGCTCACGAGTAGCACGAGAAAGCCTCGAATAACTCTAGGTAAATTTCTAATAATGAGACTTGTAGACATCTTGTCTAAATCTTGACTATAATAATTTTATATTTGCACTTAAGCTCGAAATAGTACGGCAGGTCTGACTGACCTAAATATCGAATGACACTAATTTGAAATACGCAGCCTAGTGACTTATGTGTACTAAGAACATAATCTATAATATTGCTTTACTCCATTTATCCGACACTCGATTAATTTATTACAAATTTATTAACAATTTATAAAATCAGTATGCTAAGAATAATTTTGATAATGAGAAAATTGGTTAATGTACGAGTGGAGATTTAAAAAGCCGATAAATAGGAGAAGCGCTTTACAAGAATTTTGTTAAGTATCGTCGATTCAAAGTCAGCCCAACAACATTTATAAATCAACGAATTGTTCTATTAAGAAAGTTAACGTACTCGAAGTAATTATCATCATGCTTGGTTATTGATTCGGCCTACAATAGGGCAAGTAAGTATATCTTACGAATAAACAATAAAATGTAAGTTTAACGTGTCTCTGCTATTCGTTGTAGCGTTGCGCAACAAATTCTTTCCATAGCCAAGAAAAGTTTCACTATCCATAGTTCATAACATTTATGCAGATGCTTGAATGAAGCTGTAGCCCAACGGATAAAAGGGTTGTCGCTGTTGCGTATAAATATTTTTATAGTTTAACATTCGCCTCCTCGACAAAATTTATCCTACCAAAAGTTACAAACGACCGACGTGGCACTACGTAATCTTTACGGTCTCGTCGCGTCTCTCCCCCTAGAACAATGTATAGTACAATGTATATTACAGTCACCGTGAAACACGAGTATCTATTTTAAAGGAATGGCGCGGGGATTTGTGAAGAGAAGGAGGAGGAGGAAGAAGAGGAGGAAGGGGAGATTAGCCCGCTTAAGCGCTAATGTCAAAAAAAAAAAAAAAAAAGGGAGATGCTCCCCCAAATCCCAAATTAAAAAAAAAAAAAAAAAAAAAAAAAAAAAAAAAAAAAAAGAGAGAGAGAGAGAGAGATTTTTGAAACTTAAAAATACACGCACTGACTGTATAGGAATAAGCTCCGTAGGCGAGTGACGGCCCCATTCATCCCCAGACTACTGGATTAGAAATCTTGGTTCTCTTCTTTTTCCTTTTAAACGCGCCTTGGGGCCTTTAATTACGCGCGAGGGAATGTTTTCCATTCGGTGTTGAACTCGCTTAGACGACTAACTAAATCCTCCCCCCCCCCCACACGCACGCACACAACCTGCCCTCGAACCTCCATGCGCTCTTGTGCTTTAGGACACTCTGTCTTTCGGAGGACAATAGCTCGTCGGGGACGACGCCCCCGCCACTGCCCCCGAAGAGGCGCACGCGCCACCAGCAGCAGCTCCACCAGGAGGATCGGGAGTCGGAGACCGGCGCCTTGGCTACGTGCCTAGACCGGGTATCCTTACGCAGTCGCTCGCCCGAGGACTCGTCCTCGCTGCTCAGCGCCTCTGCCGGGAGTCTCGACTCCGCGCTCAACCATTCGCGCGACGAGGACGAGATACGCGCCATTATGGGGCCAAACGACGAGTCCTTCGGCGACAGCATGGACCTCAGCCTCATGGCTACCATTCAGGGTGAGTACGCGTGCTCGAGAATTTCGGCTGCGCCACGAAATCCCAAGGTCGTGGCGCTGCTACTAATGTTAATTGAAAAATTTGCTCTTATTTCGAATGCATATCGAAAGAATGAGAAAACATGAACTTTCGTATCTACTCAAGCTATTCGATACTTTATAATTAAATACGAAATAATCGATAGGTTGGCTAGATTTTTCACGACTCTATTGTTTATTTGTTATGACTCTACAATTGATTCTTGTGACACAATTGTATATTGATACATCAAAAAAGACTTTGCTACTGAAATTGTCAATCAACTTTAATATATATATATATATATATATATATATATATATATATATATGAATTGCAGTGATGCGCAATGCATTTTATTTATCATTTTGACAAAACAGTGTATACTGTGTATTGATATTTTTTCATCTCTTCGTATTGTCCATACATTCCGGCATTAATATTAATTCATATGTGCTTACATGTTTAGGCTCCGAGCACGTGATGTATCGTAAATCTTTCCGTAAATTCGTAAATTATTTTTATAAAAATTATTAACATATCAATATCTTAGCTCTTCTATATTTAAAAAAGGCAACAAAGACAAATAGAAAAAAATTTACTTAATACGAGCGGGAGATTGTATCAAGATTGACATTAAAATTTCCTATTGGCGTTTTTAATGACAAATGTCGTAATGTGACAATTCTAATCTATAAAGATTTTGTATCGCTCAACGACATCACATTCACGCGATATTATCGTATTACTACCTGGCAATTATTCAAAGCTATCTCACTCGCTAAAAAATCACGAAAGGAGAAAATAAATACGTAAGCGCAATAATTAGTTTGTTTCATCATTGGTTGTCATTAAAAAAACTAAATGATCAACCGATCAAATGTGACTCGTAAAACGATTCGTAGTGAAACGAGTCGTAGTAAGCATGATAAATTTAATAAATTTAGTATGAATTTGTTTTTTTATACTTAAACAATTTCGAGTTAAAAGATATCGAAATAAAGAGAAAAAAAATTTCGGCTTTCAATTGCAACTAATTTAATGAATTTGATGGGCTTTTAAACGAAAAAGGAATCTCCGCTTCGTTACAAAGAGCGATGACGAAGGAATAATAATATTGACATTTGAATTAGAATTGGATCGTCGACATATTTGGCCGTTGCGTAACGTTAAGCTTGATACTCGTATGATTGGCGAGCCTAATTGTCAGTGAAAACTGTGGAAAGTTGAATCGTAAGCTGCCGCGTCGCTATCGCCTCAATAAGCGAAGATAATACAAAAAAAGAAAAAAGAAAAAGAAAAAAAAAAAGAAAAAAAGAAAAAAAAAGAAGAAAAAAAAGTAAGTCGTTATTAATGGCATCATCGAGTTTGTTTACTCTCAGTGTCAACTCGAGGCTGCGTACAACGATTTACGTAACTCGCGCATCCGACATAAGAACTAGTCCAATACAAAATGTGTACGTCATGTTGTCGGCATTGGAATATCGAGCGTGAGAGGCAAGCAACCGAGATCGGCTTTGTATCGTGAAACATTGCCATCGTTAAACGCATTTGGCGAAGGCCGCGGAGTTGCCTGGTGGTCCAGAGCGCGATGATCCCGAGTCCTCGCGAGCCGCGTATCGATTAGCGCGAGTCCGATTTGTTTATGGCGAACGCGAGACACGATTACGCAAAAGGTCCATGCGTTAGCTAGTTTAGTCAGAGCTACTGCGGCCGCTGTCGTCGCCGCTACCGCCATCGCCACCGCCACCGCCGCCGCCACCGCCACGACCACCTCCACCGCCACCAACACCACCTCCACCGTCACCGCCGGAGTTGCCACTGTTTCACGCTCCTTCTCTCCTTACTTCTAATGTCGTCGTCTTGGCGGCCCTCAGTTGAGACGCACTTTTGCCTCGCCACGGTTGCATTGCCCAGGTGTCTCGATCTATCGTTGTCCTTATTTGGCTTTGCGACACTTGCTCGTCACGCTATCTCGTGCTTTAAAACCACTTTTCTTTTTTTCTTTTTTTTTTTTGTTTGTTTTTCTTTTATTTTCTTTTAAATTTCGTCGGTCATCTCTTTCAATCGATTCGACGCCGCCAACAATCGACAGACGAAATTCGAGTTTGATCGAGATAGATAAGCCACGTAGGAGCCGCGAGATGGATGATGAGAATATACGATTTTGGTTCTCGGAGATAACGAGGCCTTTTTACTTTAATTTCGATCAGCGTAGGTATTGTTGTGATTGTTCATACTTTATGCAATGAGTCGTGAGTCGGTTTTGCCGACCAGTCTAACGGCAGAGTCTAAGGGCATCATCGTCACTTGAGCGCGCTTCGGGCCTGAATATTCCATTGTCATTATATAGCCACGATAAATGGCTAATTATTCGTCCAATGTTCATCGAGGTACAAGCAGCTTTAGAATCACTTTAAATAACTTTTGTACATTCGTCTTGTGCGTTACTGCACCGGCGTGGTGTAAGACGAGATTTATCGCTTGGGCGGTGTAATAATAAAATTTCATTATCTCGACAACGACTTCATCTAACGTTTTTACGATAGACCTTAACCATGCTCGGCTATCCCGGTAAATTATCCTTTGTAAACTTAAATTTTTAGAGCTCTGAATCGACGAAGCTGCCAATTATCCAATGCCGATTAATGTCCCGTAAGGATAATCTCGCCCTCGGAAATTAGCGGAAAGACCATCGAAATGCGTGATTTACATGATACGAACCGAAGCGCCATATCAAAGTCCAAAGTCACAATGGAAATTTAAGAATAGTTTTACGTACGATTGGGCAAATGTAAAATGAAAATATAAAATTTTCGTCTTCTCGGGTATTGTAAAAGTTCGTCATACAATGTAAAAACTTTGTAAGAAATTATGAAATTTCTTGAGCCAGCTATTCCACGACTTTTGCCTTCGGTATCCAACATAACGAGACAAACATTCAAAGTTTATAAACGCGATATATAAGAATAATAGGGGCTTACGCGCACATAACATTCAATCTCTAAGGCGACGGGCTATCTCAATGCCTGCGCATTATCATTTATTTTTACAAGATATCTCGTTATAACCGTCTCCTCTCCCGTTTCCCAAAGTTTAACAATAAATGACAAACATTTAACGAAGTGCTTTACACACGCCCAGGAATTTCATCAACATTCAAGATTATTTAGGAAATAATTATTTCTTCGTTTATCTATTGTGAATGTAGCTCAGCTCGCTTTACCACGGCGCACTTTATGCGATTGGTGTTAAAGGGAGAATGCGCAACGCCCAATCGTGTGACGAAAGGAGCTTTAACGACTTGGCAAGTCGCGCGCTAAGCCACCGAAAGCTCGGGCGATCCATTAACGGCCATATTCAAAGAACTGCGTTTCTCTTGTTTGTGCGTAGGAATGCAAGTTAACGGGAGCTCGCACTGCGGCTGCTGGGACGGATCGGAAACGAGTCTGCCGAGCACGATGCTGTTGGGTCAGCAGACCTCCCAGGAAATGCTCGGCCAGTTTACCGGTAAGTATATCATTCCTTGGCCAGCGGCATTAAACATCAGTCCACGTCAGTCGCGGCACTCGATAAATCGACCGGTGCATTGACCTCGCCTCGCACTACGACGTTTTGGCATAGTCGTCGGACGTTAGAATCGTCGACCCTTCGGGCATTAAAGGCGTCACGTATGGGCTATTTCGAATCGCCTATTGGTTGATCGACGTAACTGGCCGCGGAACTCGTATCCGTAGACTTAGCCGAATTTTCTCACTCGTAGGCTCGACTGTTAATTTTAGACGCGTGGATTCGGGCCTTCGTGAAAAAGCTAAATCGTCGGCTTTCAATTGAACGCACGGAACCCAAGTTCTTTCCCCTACCTTTTTCCAGGGCCCTTCAACCACCCTTTGTCATAATGGCGAGATTCCCCGACAAAATAGCCGGAATTTCTCATTTTCTCTTTATCGTATCACACGCCGTAATTACAATCTCATGGCGAATTACGCTCAATTACAGATTGACAAGACAATTTTACCACCCCCCCCCCCAAAACTTCATTAAGTCATTAGGTTAGGATATTAATAGAGCCTAGGGAGAGTCTATGATCATTCGACAATTGACGAACGGGACGAAGTGTTCCGACAATTCTCTCTAGCTTTATCGATGCTCTTCGCTAGGCCCTTGGAAAGCGATCCCTCGAGTTTCATCCAAACGACCCAATCGTCCGCTCGCCATCTCCTTCTATCCTCTCTCATCGATATTGAAAATCCAACATTAGCCTCGATTGAGCGAATCGAGAGAAGGTGGACCAACGCTCCCTATCCTTCTTCTCCCCCCCCCCCCACCCCACATCCCCACATCCCCACATCCCCACATCCCCCCACTTCACAATCGTCACACTTATCACGCAGCAGTCGAAGCGAACGCCGGGCGCGTAAGGGCCGAGTGCTCCCTTGCTCCCTCGCCCCCTCGCCCCCTCGAACCTATCGAATAATAATGGGGCGAGCGGCTCTCGAGTGTCCTCCTCTTAAGGCCAATCCAATTGCTCGGGGCCTGAAAGGAAAAATAAATCTCGCCGCGACTGCGCCCGACGCTGCGCCCGACGCTGCACCTCGCCGGCTATATTTAAAAGGCGCGCGATCCTCCCCTCCTTCCCCAACGGGAGCGCGAGTTTTTTCGTCGCCACTTTTCACGATTGTGCAACGACGCTGCAAATAGAGCCACGGGAACTGATGCGCGTGGGCGTCCGGCTGCTGCCAGCTGGTCTCGGCTCATGAATGGGAGTGAGCATTCCCGGATTGGGTGCGCGTGTCTCCACGCGCAATATCGAGTATCGAGTGCTGGCTTTCCCCTTAATTAATTCCTTAATCAAAGGCCATGGGGAATAAGGAGAAGGGAGGAGCCTGACCCTGGGAAGTCCTCGAGTCCTGGCTCTGTGAGATATTTGCCTGTGCTGCCGATTGCTCGCCGGAAAGCCTCGCCAGCTACATACTTCACATTATCGGCGTTTTCGAGTCGTCGATTTTTTATTTATTTATTAATTTTTCTTTTGGGTTTTTTTTTTGGGGTTTTTTTTTTTGGCTCCGTCCTCTTAGCGAAAAATCTACGTTCAGCGCCACTGTATTGTTGCTTAATTGTTGCGATTGATGCTTGACTTGGTGACTAATGACACAGGTTGACTAACTAACAGCCGTGTTCACGACCTATACTGGGTGAGGGAATTTCTCGATATAACGATTGTTAGCGCCTCCGAAATAACAAAAGTGGGAATACAATATATTTGTTTATTTATTTATTCTCGCCTATCTTCTTGTGTATCTATTAATATTAAGCCAAGAGCTAAGACCGTCGGATGGAGCTTTGATCTTGGTATTAATTTCTAAAGTATGTTGCTTTATATAATAGCCTGTGCTGAACGCGAATGCTAAGAATCTTATTTAAATAATAATATTTAGTGAGTATTAATCGCGTAATCGTGAAGTACGACGTTACGTATAATAATTCAAATTGAAAATTAATTCGGATTATATGGCCAGCGTTAATAATAATTTAAGTACCAAAGAGCAATAAAATTATTATATATAAAGCTGATGCACCTGGTACACCTCGAAAGAATGATCGAGCAAGATCTGCAATGATTTTTAATACGTAAGGTAATATTTAATTATGTCGTCTCTTACGAAAATGGATGAGCCCACTAATTTTGTTTTCTTAGATTCAAATCTTACATTAATAACAATGCTTGAATATGAAAATGCTTATATAAATATTAGGTAATTCTAAAATTGTCTTTAGCCTAAAGTTTTTTAATTCTAGTTTGTAATTACAAGATTGCCTGTCCCTCGGCATCTAATTTTAAATATTTACTTAATCTAAACTTAATTTTTAATTGATAACTTTTATGCTAATTTATGTCAATAAAGTATTTGTAAATATATGAAACAATTATTGCCATTTACATAATATAAGTACTTTTAGAAGCTTACATTATTCGCTTAAATTTTCGCAAAAGAATATCGTCCTTATCAAACTAAATGTTTATTATTTACAAAATGCCCTCATTTTATCATTATTTTCCATGCTTATTATTAAACAAAAAGAAAAAAACTCCAATTATACGTAATTACTTTATTATATGTATTTCATTATCAACGTAACGCTTAGTAATCATATACGTATTTGTCGAGAATTTAATCCGTGCAACTTTTGCTCAAACATTTTTATTTAGAAAATATTTTGCAGCCTTTTCAGTTCATTTATAACTGCATATTTGTAAATACGCTTAAACTAAAAATAATGGTAAATTCACACGTAAATTTGTGAATCTTTATTTACTTAATAAATTAGCAATAAAATTATTATTGCTAGAAAAGAATATCGAGTAATTAATCCATACGAGTAAACAAGCATGTGTGTGTACGTGTTCGTGCGTGCGTGCATGTCTCTGCGTGCGTTTGGAAAGAAATATTTGTCAAATATTATGAAAACTTAGTATTCATTAAATTTAGTATTTCTAAAAGGAAAATTTTGCATTCAATTTGTTTAATAGAAATAATTTATTTAAATCGAATGATAAAACCTTCTTTTCCGAAATTTTCATGCAAGTAAGGCCATTGAAAAAGGAAAAATGCACTTAATTTCGTACATGGTAATGCAATACCTGCAAATACAATATATACGTTGTCGGTATTAAATATATTTAAAACAAATTTTAGTGAGCATGATGTTAAATGATGTTCGGTTGAGTATTTATGCTTAATTGTCAATAAATGTGGTATAAATGCGAAGCAGAATTTTCTATTTACTTTTATTCGTACTTTGGTGCTTATCTAATTAATAACCTGCACATTACTCTTTGTAGAAAATGCCAGATTTCTTTTAATTATAATTTTTGCTTTTAAATATCATGAAATTTTATAAGATTATTACATTATTTTTGCTTTAGTTACTTAAATACTAGAAAGATACGAACGGACAATGTGTTTTGTTTTTTAATGTGCGTGTGGGGGGGGGGGGCGCGTGCGCGTGCGTGTGTGTGATTTTTTTTTTAATAACGTAGATAATTTTCTTTGTTATTACAGACAATACAGGAAACATTAATGTATGATTATATTATGGCATTACAAAGATAAAAAGCACACATGACAATATAATAATTATAAAACGGGGATAGAAAATAAATTTGTATCAATATATTTATTATTATTCTCGATGGAAATAAATTTTATAATAAAAAATTGCTTGCTTTTATTCAACTTTGTTTTCAAGAATTGAAATGCTATTTCTGGCCAAATTTTCATGATAAATGGTAGCATAGAGACTGCGCTAATGAATCTCGTGTCGCGCTTTAAAACTTGCCCACGAAGGAAAATAACATGAGATGTAAAAAAAAAAATTGAAAGCCTCAAATGTGCGGAGCTATCAATCACGCGCTGCCAAACTTTAAAAAGAAACCTTACACCCAGCGCATTTTCTAAGCAATTAATTAAAGTGAGTGCCCCATATAATTACAGTTGGAAAAATATTAAAAGTCAGGGACAAGCACAATGGCAGCTATCCTACTTATTAAAAAATAATACCTCGGTTCCTTAAATAATCTTGGGGGATATGGGGGTATGGGCGTATGTGAGATTCTCGTACCCCATAAATAATCATGGAAAGTCGCATTAACGATAATTTGCGAGTCGATCAAATTCACATGGGCTGCCGCATTCCTCAGGCATAGAGGCTAAAATGGAACGCCTCTCGACGCAGACCCAGGAGTCCGGCTTCCTCTCCATGCACTCGCAGCGCTCCTCCTCGCAGAGCTACACCGCGACGACGGCTAACCTCGTGTCGAAGCGCCTCTCCCAGCAGAGTAGCGTCAGCTACAACTCCCAGAACGTGCAATCGTACTCCCAGCAGAGGCTTTCATCCGCCAGCGAGGCCAACAGCAACGGCTCGACCACCGTAAGCCACAAGTCGACCACCACCACCATGACCAGCTCCAGGAGCGTCCACAGTACCACCAACCTCGGCGCCGAGCCCTCCTTCATGGAAACATTGGTAAACGTGGGTGTTGCATGCTGCTTCGCTTATTATCTTTATTTCCATTGTTTTGCAATCGTATTTCTTCGAGCAATTGTCATTTCGAGATGTCACTGTCGATAAAGAGATACGAGGATGCAAACACGATAAACAAGCTGGCAAACAGCATTCCCATCCTTTGCCATCCTTTCTTCGATTATTGGGTGAATAGAAGAAATGTCGGTGGATGCATAAGCCCTCGGATCTCTTCTCTCTCTCTCTCTCTCTCTCTCTCTCTCTCTCTCCCTCTCTCTCTCCCTCTCTCTCTCTCTCTCCCCCCCTCTCTCTCTCTCTCTCTCTCTCTCTCTCTCTCTCTCTCTCTCTCTCACTTTAGTATATATATTAAAATTACGTCCCAAAGCTTAAAATGTATTTTCTCCAACCAGTCGAACAACAAACTCTTTATCCCTGATTTAGAAAACTGCCGCGCAAAATGTTGTATTATCGTGCGCTGCAAAGTTGTATTATTACGAAGTCGGTCGATCTATAATAATGACTAATGAACTTTCGGAGGTAATTAAATCGAAGCTGTCGGAATTCGAGGTGAAATATCGATTGTCGTCGTAATTGACTGATGCGCGTGCAATACATAATATCGTATCGTAAGACGTATGTAAATTGTGTAATGTCGATGTAATATGCAAATAATGCAAATTTTTAAATAATTGATAGGTATTTAATAAGATAAAGAGATAATTTTCGAAGGATTAGCTATCCAACGATATTTGCATACTTCGATGCGTGATATCGTTATAATTATAATTGTATCCGATAACGGACATTACGAGATCGAGAGCGTAAATTTGTTGAATTTAAAAAAAGTTTTGAAATATCCGTGAAAAGTATTAATTACATTACATATAAAAGGAATTGAATTAGCGGGCAAAAATGTTCTCTTTGGCATTTAATATCTCAAATGCAACTCGATCGCATATTCATTGAACGAGTGCGCCAGCTTTTCGCATAAAATTTGTTTAATTTTTTCCCAGCGTATGCGTGTGGATTTATAAATGTTCAAAGCCACATTCTCGAATTAAAATGCACTTTTGCACAGAAACGCCACCACTCAACATTGGAATCTTAATTTCAATTATCGCGACTGAAAATCATTATTGCGGTCCAGCGAACATTTATGTTTTTTAAGAGCGAGGCGACAATGTCAACGTAATCAATTACATTGTCATAAAAATGGTTAATTTTATTATCCATAGTTTGGCGATTATAATAAAATACTTTTTATACCGTGTCGTTGGCGATTTCAATTCTTCCCGATTCTTCGCGAAGCCTCAAATTCTTCCCCCAATAAAATATAATCAAATCTTCGTAATAAAGTTTGCTCTTGATGCGTGAAATTAACCATCAAATTCAACGTCACGTCCACTTAAAGGCAACGTATGCCAAGTGAATACGTCACTTTGACAAAAAGCCCCGATATATCGCCATTTCCCTAAGCGTCCTTGCACTTAATGAAAAATACCATTAACCGTAACGATAATTTAACGTTAACCATGTTCTTATAATAGGAGATGGAGGCGCTGGCGAATTCGGACGCCAACGGCGGAATGCCACCGGCGTTGCCGGAAAAACGCTCGAAGCGCCGAAAAGAGCGGCTCCACTCGCAGTACGATAATGTGCCGGAGAACGAGCATTTATCGACGTGCAGTTTGCACGCGAGCAACGGCAACAGTCCCATCGACAATAATAGGCCGCCCCCACTGCCGATGAAGAAGAGACATAGTAAGTTGAAAGCTCCGACATCCGATAATGCCCCCACACGTCTCCTCCTCTCTGTTGACAAAAGCGGCTCTTGCTTTATTATGCCCGTCGAGGTTTCCTTCCCGCGAGCTTTTAACGCCATTCCACAATGACGCCAGGAGATTATTCTTGTGCGTCGAGTGATTATCGAGTTGAAATTTCACAGCATATTTTACTTGCGATCGGGCGACCTCGGCGAGCTTTTTATACTTCCAAGTGCGTCCGATATGCTCATTTGTGCTCTTATAATTATTACAGTCTGGCTTATTAAGTGCCGAATTTATTGTATTTATTATTTATTATATTTATTATTTTAGTGTGATAAGTAAATTTTTATATTTATGTCTGGTTGATCGAGGGTCAAAGGGGCCGAGAATTCCAACTCTAATGGGCAAAATTGTCCATTTAGATGAATTCCATTGTGGTCGTGAAAGTACTTGCGTCAATAATAATATACCGTATGTCCGGCGGTTCCATATTAAATTCAAATCCGCTTCTCCATCTTTCTTCATCATCATCATCATCATCATCATCATCATCATCACCATCTTCTTCTTCTTCTTCTTCTTCTTCTTCTTCTTCTTCTTCTTCTTCTTCTTCTTCTTCTTCTTCTTCTTCTTCTTCTTCTTCTTCTTCTTCTTCTTCTTCTTCTTCTTCTTCTTCTTCTTCTTCTTCTTATTCTTCTTCTTCTTATTCTTCTTCTTCTTCTTCTTCTTCTCGATTCTCGGTTGAAGATTTCTTATTAACGTTATTAATCGTGCTTGTAAATTTTTTTCCAACAAAATTACGGTTTTCTTATACGTGATTAAGACAAAAATGAGCAAATTGGCAGGCGATTTAGTCGCATCAAAAGATAATTGGATTTTCGTGATTAAATTCTAAAATGATACTTACCATTTTAGAGCACTACTCTCTCACTGAAACAAAAAATAAAGAATAAAAGAGTCATGAAGAGCAATTGATACTACCGATCGAAATTTTATAATGAAGCATGACTCTGAAAATTCGATAATAACATTTTTTTTATCCCCAAATAAAAATGCTTCAGCCAAGAAAGTTTCTTAAATATCCTTTCGAGCACAATATATGCATATAACTATTTCATAATAGTTTTTAATAATAGCGCGAAAAATTAATAATAATAAAAAAAATGTTACTATTTCCCCTATTCTGTCTGCTATATGATGTTGAAACTGATGCAATGTTTTGTTGTCCTCCAGTGTTCCAATCTGTGGCATATTCCGGTAAGTGGGATTTCGCCCACACAAATTCTACAAACCTTGGCTAATACCCACACGCTAAGTTATGAAAAAAAAATGAAATTATATCTATACACACGCACACACACTATGTGCGAATGCATATACGTATTTATAAACATATATATATATATATATATATATATATACACATACATACACACATATACACATATACATATACATATACATACGTGCATAGATACGTATATGCATATATACATATATGTATTTAAAGGAATCTATACATTGCTGTTTATATATATATATATATATGCACGTGTGTGCGCGCGCTTGTGTATACGTGCATATATGTGTATACATAGATATATGGTTGTTCACATATGTATATATATATATATATATATATGCATATGTTTATAAATACGTATATGCATTCGCACATAGTGTGTGTGCGTGTGTATAGATATAATTTCATTTTTTTTTCATAAACTTTTTTGTTATATCGCTCAAGCTTTTTATAGCATGTTTGCTGTTTGTTATCACATTTTTTTTATTTTACCTTCACAATCATAGTATATAGTGTATGTAGCTTGACTTTTGATTTATCATTAACACTCGCATTATACATAGCTTTTGTGTATTGTGCTCGCGCGTCTATGTAATGTATATATAAATCGCTGAACCTGACGATCATATTTTCGTGGTAAGATACATTATTTCTTTTGTGCTTTGGTAAATTATATTTTTTTGAAAATCATGTGCAAGCATCTGAACTGTACATGCAACATATTTTTTCTTTTTCTTGAGAGGTTCTGTCACTTTCGTGATACAATCGTTTGTAAACGTTCGTACGACTGTTATGCAATGCAAAGTTATTTGCTATTATTATTTATAGTTTAATTTGTATAATCATAAGTACTTTTCTTACATTGTAAGAAAGAGGCGCATTGACTAATGTGAGAAAATATTTTTTTTAATTTAGCAAATAACATTATTAACAATTTGTCAATTTAACTGGAATGTAATTACATTTATAGTTAAAATATACTTTTTCCTTACCGGACATTTTGTAAATTTATTACATTGTTATTACATTTTCTTGATTACCTATCTTAAAAGTTTAACATATGTATCATTGATTTTTTAAAAGATTTTATATCAGCAGTTTTTAGCATTTTATAAGCTTTTTTTTTTTTTTTTTTTTTTTTAATGTGAAATACTTAATTTGAAAGTTTAAAGTATAAAAATATGTCATTTCTGATTAGTTATGCTGCGCCATTGGAAATGCCATAATAACACTCAATTAACATTAAAATATCCACTTTTAAAATTCAACTGTTAATGCGTATAGAAATTTTCTTCCATCGATAATCGTCTAATTACGGATAAATGACATATATTCTTAATTATAAACTCTAAGCGCTGAAAATATACAGACGTTCTTAAAATGTGGCAGAAATCAATTGACCGTTTGATTGAAGGACCGATTGAAAAGGAATTTCTTTCGCTGAAAAATTGCGTTTGAAACGAACTTTATGGCACGTTATAGTCAATGGCTTATTAATAAATCTAATCTATTGTTTACCGATATTAATTAATCTTAGCATTTTACAAGTGACAAGGACTTACAAATGTAGATAGTAAAGAAATTTCAGAGGAGCCTGCATTGCTTAATATCCGGAAACGAATTTCGTTGTGCTCTGTTTAGCAAATCGGCATCTCGCGCAAATGAGTCGCAAAAATATGAAAAACAAAGCCAAACAAAACAAGCAAATACCTTCGTGACTCACTCGTGGCTTCCCAGCACGAAAAACGCATCGGCAGACGACACGGCCGTGTATTGCGAAAGCTGCAATTATCTCATCATCAAATTGGCCTTACGGGCGGTTGGCCAATTATTATTGCTCTCGCAGTCGTGGTACGCGAGTCGCGTTTTCTTTTCGCGTTTTCTTTTCGCGTTTCTTTGGTCGCAGTAACGCGGAAAGGCTCGTGGGACGCGCACCGGTGACTTTACCGCCTACCCTCACGGATCTCGCCCTCGGTCCTCCTTGTCACGGAGATGCTCTTTCTCAGGCTGCACGCGTATTCCAGTGAGTGGGTCCCCTTGTGCCTTTGTTCGTTTTATAGTCTTGAATGTGATTTTAGCAATCGTGCTGCAATATCAAAGGAGATTCTTTCGCAAAAGAGTGAAAATTTTCAGATACAAAATTTTAAAGCAAATGATGAAAAAGAAGTGGGGGTGGGGGTGGGGGTGGGGGTGGCACGATAATTTTAGTTGCACTTTTATTTCTAAAGATTAGTCCAATCAGTTCGGGAAACTTGAATTTTTAATCCGAAGAGGCGTCCAGTAAAAAGATTGTGAGAATACGTAGATCGTTCAAAGTACTTCGATTGCATGACAATTATGAATTGTAATTGATTTTGAATATAAATATATATATATATATATATATATTATTTATACGATAGTGTCAGCAATTTCTTCAAATGCGGAATATAAAAACATGTGTTGTTACAAAAACTTAAAAAAAAAAAAACGTATCTCTTACAAAATTTCTGAGGCTAATGTGTAAGAGCTTTTCATTGAACTTGAAAAATGGTAAGTAAGTCTTACAAGTACTCGAGCATTCATTTTATAAATGCTGAAAAGCAATTTGTTATATTTTTCTATAATTCGACAGTATACCATATTATTATCTAATTTATAATTTGTAATAACAAAGGTTTCGAATTAATTACAAAGTTATATTCAAGCATTAAACAAATAATTCATGTAGAATGAAAACGAAATCGATCGAGCTTATTTAATTTAAAAATGAATTATCTTTCAAAATGTCCGAATGTCTCTTGATGAAATGCAAATTGATAAAGTAATTATCATACATTAGAAACATAAATAACAGGCGAGATATTAATTTTATAATTATTGTTATGCTTCCGATTAAATTGTACACTTGGTTTATGTTATAAAATACTATTATCATCACACGAGACAAACGAAAATCCTTTTGTCCGTATCTGAAAGCATAAATACACATTCAATGTTTTGCATTACAAATCACAAATATTATTTTTCAATCGCAAACAATATTATTCTTACTCTCATTTTCCTTCTTTTTCTTCTATTTCTTATTATTATTATTGCTACTATTGTTAATGTCATTGTTGTTAATATTATTATTTACTTAAAAAAAAAAACTTTATTTATATACTTTACATACTTCGTAGCAAGGCTTTTTTTTTATTGGATTTGTTTAGATGTTTGAAATCGATTAATTATTGAGTTTAGTTTAATTGAATGCAGGACAGTAAGTACAAGTGAGCAACATTTTACAATTATAATAGATTATTTATATTATGTAGCACATATTAAATTGTTTCTATCAACTTTTCTCTGAAATCTAACTAGCTCTAAAAATTCTATCTTTACCTGCATTCAAATGTACAAATATATATATGCACGTACTAAGACTACTCTTTGTGTGTTTGCGTGTTTGCGCGCGTGTGCGTGTGTGCTTTGTGCGTGCGTGAGCGTGTGCGCATGTATGCGCATAGAGAGATAGATCGATAGATAGATAGATAGATAGTTGGAACGAGAAAGACACGCGACTAGAGTTACGAAAATATTAACAATCTTATTATTCGATTATTCGATTAATCAAACGACGTAGCATTAGCGATTAACTCCTTCCCTCAGATAACAAGGCTTGCTTTTTTTTATTTTACTCCACTTTTCATTCATTTCTTCACGATTGCGTTGCATAAATCAAGGGAAGTGGCGGGTGGGAGGAAAAACATTGTAATGGAAAACAGTGTGCTTGCGAAGATGTGTTCGAAGAAGACGCAACATCGGCTCTATTTTATTTTCTAGTAATGGCATACATGGAGATGTTCGGCAATTGCTCGCACAGTAATAGCGACTTCATCCCGGGCCTCGGTGCCAGGCACTCCGTAGCCGCTTACAATTCCATGCAATCCGAATGGCAACAGCACGAAATGGCACTGACGACTACGCAGTCCTGCTCCTTCATGACGCACACACTCACGAGCTTGCACGACGGTACCAGGTAAGCTTGCGGTGCGACACTCAGCATTCTAATTATCGGCTAATTCGTCACGGCTCGCACTTTCATTTACCCATATTTCTTTCATTCTCTACTTCTTCTTCTTCTTCTCTATTATCCATCTTTTATCGACAATATCTGTACGCTGTGGTCTACTAATGCATTGCACTGCGCAACATGCGCTTCTTGATTCACGCACACGTAGATCTGAGTGTGTGTCGTTCGAAATTTTGAAAGAACCATAAACTTTCGAAATATCGATTATTCGTACTGTCATTATACCTTGATGAGATCAACGAATGCTTTTTCATGAATAACTTTGTCTAATCTACGTGTAGAAACCTGCATCAATCAATTAAAATTCTGAGAAAAAAAATCATCATATTTTAAAGATTACTTCAATTACTCGTATTAATAAATATATAAATTTTTGAATAGATGCAAAATATTTTCATTAATAGTGTTCTTAAGGATTTGTATGGGAATAATTAAGTGAGTATCCTCTACTTTTTCTCTATCATTCAACGATGTCGCTTTTAACTAATATTACTAACTAATTTATTGTTTCTCCGTTTGATAATTAGCAGATCACTTCCGATATTGTTTTTTTTTATCTATTTTTTTTTTTTTTTTTTTTGTTTTTTTCTCTCTCTTTCATTTCATACGATATATAAGAAATCGTATAGAAATAAATGTAAATTAATTATTAACATTAGACGATATCGTTAGTCGGTAGAAAATAATTGATGAAAATTTCAAACTTATCGAAAAATTATCTTACTACGAAATTGAAAAAATTTGAGAGATACAATCTATCACTATACATAGACGCTTAAGTTAAGTAAATATCTCAACTACTTGTACTATTAGTTCGTTATTAAAGACAAATTGCACGAAAAGCTCAAAATTGTTTTTACATCTCCAATTGAATGTCATTAACCTCGTGAAAATGTTGAGGAAAACTTTTTTCGGAAAGCAGAAACCAAGAAAAACCGAGAGAAAAGTCGTAAAAAGATCATCATCTTGACATCCAGCCGAGTGGTGCACTTTGAAATGCTCGATCGAGAAGGTAAGTCGGACAAATCGATAATTACCCTCTCGATCTTCGTTGATCCGTACAAACGTTACCCCATTTGCCTCCACCTGCCGCCTCCAAACCAAATAATCGTCGGCAGATCGCAAGAAAGTAACGACTACTTGTTTCAGCCACGCGTTCACGATGGTACCGACGATAAGAGAAATCGTAAACGATTCCAGTGTACCCCCGGCATTACCACCAAAGAGGTCGCGCTCCGTTAAGGCGAGCGCGACGCCGCCCCCAGTGTCCCCGAAGCCGGCGGCTCCCGGGATGCAGAGTCCCCACGTCGGCAGCCTCGACCCCATCATCACGTCGACACCAGTCAAAGCCGAGGAACCCATCTCCTACTCGCCACTTTCATTCGACAAGAAGGAGATCCTCAACGCTAACAACGTATCACTGGTAATCCACGTTATTATATCTGCTTTATTCAACTTGCCCGATTCGTCTTGCAATGAAGTGAAAAACTGTGGAGTTTTCTTCAACTGTACCTGAATGCCATAATTTGTCAATTGGACACGTCAATTACAATATGTTAAGTCTTATCGGGCCGATTGATGTTTTATTATACTATATAATTTGGCATACAACAGTTGTTATTTAACGTTTTACTCGAATAATCTGCAAAATTATTCTCAGTCGAAATCATATTACTCGAGGCATATTTAAATCATTCTAAATTGGTTATGTTGGTGTAACGAATAGATTGTTAAAATATAAATGTGAATCCATAAATTATGATGTCCGGAGAAAAACATTGAAATAATAAAGTCTTTTAAGTTTACGAAGAATTACTTTTTTGTTTTTTGTTTTTTTGTCCGATAATCGATTTATTGGAGAAATCAAGAATAAACTTTCAAACGATAAACGGTTCCTCGACTTTTCCTTATTTATCATCTTCCAATTAAACATGTATTCGTAAAATAAAAATACACTCGCATTCAAAGCGTGTTTACAACATGCAAACAAATGCCACAAGTTCTAAAAGTCAAACTGCTAAGTAAAAAATATAGAATTTTCTTTGTAATAATCTCGCTAAGCTTAACTTGGAGCAATTGATTTGCTCGTAATTTTAAAGATCACATTGAGTAAAATATAATAAAACTTTCATAGAATAATAATCTCAATTTGGACTCGTCGCCAAGATCATCGAGCAAAGCACCTTCCTGCATATCGATCGACGAAAACTCCATGGAATTACGAGACGTCGATCAAGATGACAACATGTTAGATGAATTAGAGATAAATAAGTATTTGGTTTTTAAGAAGCCGGAGGAGGATGGTCCAGACATACGTGGCGGTCATCCGGATGCGTTATTAATTCACGCGACAAAAGCAAACAAACATGGTACGTAAAATTGCACAATAAAGTTGTTCCTGTGTTAATTAATTGGGTTGTTGTGGCGCGGATTTATTAAATGGAAAATCGTTGCTATTGAATGCTTAGTTTATGCTGCAGTTTCATTCATTCATCGTCATTTATTGTTCAATGACGCGAATGCTCATGAACTTTTAATCAATAATCATTAATGTATTTCTCGGCTTCAATTTTACGTATTACTCGTATTATCATCGTTTACTCGTAATTTGAAAGCAAAAAAAATGTAATTTAAAATTCATTATAGTTATCGTCAAGTACACGAAACATTAAAATCCTCGGGATTGTTCGGTATGCATTAAAAGTCACAAGGATTACGATAAACCGTAGAGAAATTAATTAAGAAAAGTCGATTCCAACCATTCTCAGTTTAATAGTCAAATCGTTTTAAATCGCATACACACACACACTAATACATGGATGGATGATTGGATGGATGTGCGTATCATCTCATTAGCACTTTGATAACGATATATTTCTTTTCTTTTTTTTCTTTCAAACCTGCATTAGATGAGAAAGAATCAGGTTAGTTGATTAGTATTAGACTAGTTGCATATCATATTTACACGATCTAATAATTGTCATGCTGCGCCTAAAATACAACATTTAAAACGACATTTCAGATTTCCTGTATCAGGAAGCCTTCTTAACGACATATAGAACATTCATGTCACCGTTGGAGTTGATAAAAAAATTACACAGGCGGCATCAGCGATTCTCATGTTCGTCAGATGTAGTGAAGCAGCGAGCAGCTAGAGAAGCGTTTTCTCTGCTAGTTCGAGTTGTTAGCGATTTGACGTAAGTATTTCCAATGTACATTAGCAATAAGAAATATCCCAAGATGTAGCTTAATGTGCGTAAAATTAGCTAATAATTTAGAGTGAATCATACGCTAGTTAATGGAATCAATATCATACGCAATGGCATCTCCATAAATCATATCGCTTCTACAAATACATTTTACTAATCTGTTCAGGAGATACGCGAATTAAATTTAATATAATTTGCGATCTATTGATAATTATGAACTGCCGTAATTATCGGATCATTTATAGGCAAGATGTTTCAGTAATGATGTTTGTATGCGTTAACAATCACTCAACTCTCGGAGCATTACATGCAATTCCACCCTTAATAACCTCGAGACTATCGTTCGAGATATAAAACCTCCAATGACCATTCGTACAGGATATCCGATCTCGACGACACCCTACTCCAGACCTTGATGGAGTTCGTCCAGCAATTAGTCTGCAGCGGCGACCTAACGATGGCCAAGGCCCTGCGCGTCAAGATCCTGGAAAAGCATGCGTGCAAGCAGCTCCAGGCGGCGCAGCCGATCCTCGCGTCCTTGAGCGTCTCGACCAAGCAAGCCTCGCTCTTGGACTTTAAAAGCGAGCAGATAGCCGAACAGATGACGCTTCTCGACGCCGAGCTCTTCATGAAGATCGAAATACCGGAGGTGCTAATCTGGGCCCAGGAACAAAATGAGGAGCGCAGTCCGAATCTCACCAGATTCACCGAACACTTCAACAAGATGTCGTACTGGGCACGATCGAGAATCTTGGAGCACAGGTCCGTTGAGAATAGAAAATAATTTTCATACATATATATATATATATATATATATATATATATATATATCTGACTATTAATCAGTTATGAATTGTATTAATAGCCGCGGCACTCAAAACTGCCAATTACCATTTATATTAATTACATTATTATTATTATATATATATATATATATATATATATATATATATAATATCATAATCTCAAAATAAAACTGATTTAGTACTTCACTTTACTAATCTTGTATCGGATAAACAATTATAGGTTGGAGAACGAGGCAAAAGACAGAGAGAAATACGTTGTGAAGTTCATTAAAATTATGAAGCATTTGAGGAAGATCAACAATTTTAATAGCTACTTGGCACTATTATCGGCTTTGGATAGTGCGCCCATTAGAAGGTTGGAGTGGCAGAAACATATTACCGAAGGATTGAAGGAGTATTGTGCATTAATTGATAGCTCGAGTAGTTTCCGAGCTTACCGACAGGCACTGGCTGAGACGCAGCCGCCGTGTATTCCGTATATGTACGTAAACGTATTTGTTTAAGGTTCTTTTTTCTCTTTTTTCTCGAGGGAGTACCTTTTTGAAGAGTTGATTTTTTAATTAAATATTGCCGAGTGGAACAACAATAGAGTGCATTTATGATAAGGTCGATATGGTATACTCTATTAGCGTATCCATATTGCATACATTCGTCAGAACTTGGTAAATAATGATAGATTTGAAAATTATGTATATTGTAAAAGTGAAATAAACTGGAAATGTTAGATATAATTTATTCGCTGTATTAGTGTAATAATAATAAAAAAAAAAAATAAAATAAAAAAAAATAAAAAAAAAAAAGACAACAGAAACGAGATAAAAAGTTATTTTAATTTACGCGTGTTCCTGAAATTTACTGAATCAAAGCATTTCGTTTTCAATTACAATAATGCATTAATATATTTTTCTATTAATTAATGCACGTTATGGAATATGACTCAGGCCAGTATCAATATTCGTCGTTAATAGATTCTGTATTTAATAAATTGAAAATTGAAAATTCATATAAATTAATAATTAATAATAATTAATAATTTCAGTGGTTTGGTTCTACAAGATTTGACGTTTGTACATATCGGAAACAGTGATCTGTTGCCTGACAATAGCATTAATTTCTCGAAACGATGGCAACAGTTTAACATTGTAGAAAATATGAAGCGATTTAAGAAAGGGTGAGTATCAATGTATTATATTGGGGTTTTTTTTTTGTTTTTTTTTTTTTGTTTTTTTTTTGTTTTTTATACAGCCAAACTCTGACTAAAATGCACAAAAAATTGAATACATGTAAAATTTCTATTCGATAGTATTACTTTATTGTTATAGAAATGGTGAGACAATGTTGTCAGCAATTTTTTTTTATAAATCAATATTGAAAAGAATTATTGTAATTGCATGCAATTAGTATAGTGAAAATTTTTTCTAATTTAATAAATAAAAAATTGTTTTCCTATACTGTTTGTATAATAACATGTTAATTAAATACTACTTTCGTACTAAATTTGACAGATACGTGATTTGTGGATTAATCAAAGCACATAACAAACAAAGAAAGCAACTTATATATAATCCCTGCAAAATCAATCATTGCTATATACATTTTTTTCTTCTTCATTTCAGAACATACAGTTTCAAGAAGAACGAACGCATCATTACTTTCTTCAACAACTTTAGCGATTTTCTTTGCGAAGAAGCAATGTGGCAGATCTCGGAGAGCATAAAGCCCCGTGGTGGCAAGAAACCACAGACTTAGAATTAAACGACGGCCAACTCATTAGCCTTTTACTTGACGAATCCAAGATTCTTACCCAAATTGTAAATTCTTTCCCTCGATTGTATCTTAAGCGAGCATGTTGATTCCTGCTATCCCCCTCGATCTTCATTTATGGACGACTAGCGACGGATCTGTAGTGTACGAGTTTCGAATTAATGTATAAATGAAGAAGACTATGGGATTGAACGGCTTTCATAAAATGTTTAGCGAATTCGTATACCTTTCACGCATCTCGATATGTTATATAGAAAAATACTTTCTTTACAATTAGATGATGAATAAAATCGAACTTCCCATATTGTGATAGTAAATCAAGAACATTTAAGCTGACAAGGTGATCGAAACGCCGAAAAAATAAAATTATTAATGTCAATCTAATATACAGTAAGCACATAAGGGGAAAATAATAATAAAAAAGTAGTGATCGTTGGAATGAATGTTTGTAAACATTTCTCTTAAGATGAGTTGTTTTACGCGAAAAAAGGCGCAACAAACCTATTGAATTATCATCTATTATAAAGTGCTTTCTCGCTTTATTGGATTCTCTTGGTAACTTTAGTGATATGCTTTAATTTAAGTCTAGCACAATGCCGGCGAAGACGAGAAAAATATTATAAAATTCAAGCGGTATTAGCTAAAATAATTAAATATAGGAATCACGAGTACTATTTATTTATCGTTTTCGATTAATTTCTCAGTTGACTTACGTAATATGTAATGTGTATAGGGACAGAATTTAGGAAAGATAAATTTTCGTTCGTAATGATTTAGGTATATAGTAGTAAATATACCTGTTATCTAGCTTTATGTAGATAGATACATTTTCAATGGTCAACAGCGAAAATTGTTGATTATACAAGGAATAACACCAATTACGTAATTTAATGTAGAGCCATCGTAGTTTCGTGTCGCGGCATTGACCTATGCGTGACTCGGGGCACATGGTACGACTGAAGGCGAATAAAATAAAAAATAATTATAATAATAAAAAATTAATAATAATAGTAATAGTAATAATTGTAATAATAATAATAATAATAATAATAATAATAATAATAATAATAATAATTACAATAATAATGATAACAGCAACAACAACAACAACAACAACAACAATAATAACAATTTAAAACAAAAAAACATTAAAATTAAAAACTAAAAAAAAAACAACTTGGAATTAACAATAGAATTGTTACATATACTATTGTATATGAGTTCTGAATAACGTATCGTTGGAAAAGTTGTGTTAATGGTTATCCAGGCTTTCAGCTTTAAGTCGATTTGCTATTTCGGAACTTAGAAAATATATGAATTTATTTGTAAATTAATTATACATTATTAGACAAATGAGATTTCGATTTCTTTAGTTATAATATCAAAAAAAAAAAACAAAAAAAAAACAAAAAAAAAAGATGGTTCTGTAGCAAATACATCTACATTTGGTGCTGTATACATGTAAACGTTAGTTATTTATAAAAAAACAAAACAAAAGCTTTTTTATTTTTACATAATACGTTGATTAAGCGAATGAAATAAGGAAGAGAGTGAATTAACGAAAGAAGCGAAATTCATAAATCACTTATGAATTACATTTAGTCTGCAATGGTATTTATTAATGTGTGCATTATGTTGCTGAGTGAGTATAGAATTGTGGATGTGTGTGCGAGCGAGAGTAGAGGACGAAAAAACGACTGAAAAATACATAAATTCCCAGAAGCAATTATAATACGTTTCAGAATGTGTACATCGAAGACATTTTTCGTAGATTTAATAAAAGATAAGCTTGCAATGTAAATAGCAAAAAAAAAACAAAAAAAATGTATTATGCAGTTCCAACACGGTTTCCCGATTAAACCAAAATAAAAATGCAAAGGAGCACTGACGCGAGATTCAATTAAGCTTAAAATAAAATTATGATTTTGCTTTTATACGTCCGTGTTGACTTTCATTTTGAGACAATTGCCAACAATGCATTAGCACATTTCGTTAAATTCAATTGCATTGAGAATCTTTAAGATAAACTATCGCCTATCTTTGGTTACATTTAACAAAAAAAAAAAACAAAAAAAAAAAAAAAAAAAAAAGAGAGAAAGAAAAAACACCGCTCGAAACAATCATATGTAATCTACAATGAGTTTTCCTTAGAAATGCAATAAAAACGTGATTTCACGTAAGGCAGTTGCGCAATCATTACGTTATTTAGCGTTTCAACAGTTGCGAGTAAGTTACGAAAAATATAAGGCCTAAGGTGACCGAGTTGTCAAGCAATCCGACCATATCTTAAATTACATTTTTTCAAACTACAATACCAACGTATTTTTGTAAGCCTAAATGTTTGTCCTCCCGAAATTTCGAAAGGCATTTTTACAGGCTGTACTTACGCTTGCAAGATCACAACACAACCTAATCATTCACATGTATTGAAAAATCACCACGTAATGTAAAATATTATTAATTAACTTCTGCATCGGGCACAGAATAAGTATTAAGAAATTTTTATTGAATTGAGATTTTTAAGGTGTAAGATGTGCAAGATGAGAGAATGAATATTCTTGACAGGACAAACGAACAATCTTGAAAATGTCAATTCAAATACGAAAATGATTCGTTCTAATGGCACGTATTGAATTACTTCGGAGAGATATAAGGGAGGAAGGTGAATTATTATTTAAGAAATTAAAAATTGTACATACAATTAATAATATGTGCTGCTGTAATAGTATTTATCATCGATATTTGCAAAGTTATATATGTTCGTTGTAAGGAGGCACTTTTTGAGTAATCCCTCTGACAATGCAAATTTTCCATTTTTCACTTCATTTCGTGTTTATCTATGCATTGAATGACATTCAAATTGCCATTCTTTTTCGATACAATTTGGGATTCTGTAAGGTGCATTGCCCAAAATGTGCCTCTTCGCTCCTATCGATAGCTACACAAGGGCGAGGGTAGAGGACGGCTCTAGCCAACTTGCTTCCGCTACTTCCTCCCCCCCCCCCCCCCCCAACCGCCATCACCACCACCACCAGCACCAACCCGCATCCCGAATAATTATCATCCAGGTGTTGTACATATCCGATGAACCACGCAGCTTCAACGCCTCACTTCACCTTCCCACCTCTATGGGCGGCTGGCTTCCCATAGGAGTCGATTTGGGCCGAAATACTCCATATCCGGATGGCTTACCCTGCTTACCCTTGCCTTTCTCACGGCCTCTCAATTACTCCTCGTAACAATGTATTACGTAAGTATGTGTATCATCGATTATTACAAATCACACATGTGCACTAGACTTTGGTTAAACATAATGTCCGAGCGATGCCATATTATATTGTTTGTACATTACAGTCGTGCGCCTACAAAATTTATATTATTTTTATTTATCATCAAGCATTAAATCGAAAAATTAACCATTTTTATTTTTAATACTTCGTTTATTTTTAATTACCATCTTATGTTTTTATGTTTTTTTTTTTTTTTTTTTTTTTTTTTTTTTTTTTTGTACATTACATGCCAGAAGAAATTACGTCTTTCTCCAAATGAGCTCTAACGCAACTGCATAAGAAAAATTAAGTTAAGGAGAAAATTCTGTCTGTATGAAAGTTATCACTGTCGAGTCGCAAATAGTGCGTAATATTTAACAATATTCAGCCAATGTTTAAAGAAATCGGTATGCTGGTTTTTTTCTTTTCTTTTAAAGCAATTTCCTGCATTACCGAGTGCAAATTAATGAAACCTTTTAACGCAACCAAACGAGTCTTCCAAATAAATATATTATAATGTCAAACAGGCTATTGTAGCTCATTCGATTAATTTTCGACGACTCACGACTCATGATTTTTATTATATTTTATAAATTTTAACGTCCATTCTATCGAAATGATTTGTAAATATTAAAGATTAAGATTAATTTGAAAAACATTTCGATACATTGATTAACATTTCAATCATATATATATATATATATATATATATATATGATAATAAATAAATGAACATAATGGCATATAAGAAAAAGTTTATTGAAAATATCAAGATTAATTTCAATTTTTCTTAAGATAAATGAGAAATCCCTTCTAAGTATGTTTAATAAACGTTTTAATTAATCGACACTAAACATCATGATGTTATCATGATAAGTTCAAATTCGACATTACCAAATAAAAATTTTTCATCACTTTATTACGTCTTTGTGTAGTTTAATACGTCGATGCACAGACAGAACACTTTTCCTAAAGCTTCAAAGCTTCGTACTTTATTAACAAATAATAAGTGTAGCGCTAACATTGATGTTACGTCGTAAGGAATATTAATTAAACAAAAGAAAAATATGAGTGAGAATTAAGCCAGTGAAAGCGCAACGAAATATACGCAAAAAGAAACAATTATTAAGACTTAATGTAATTGATTAGATAGGCAATTGTATAAGAAGAAAGTATCAAGCGAATGTGATTCAGTTTCATTACTGCGCTATTTCCTGACACTTAAACGATTAAAGAATCCGTATGTAAGCCATGAAAGTCAATGTTTTTCTATCCTTTGCTTCATATAGATGCTTTTCTGGGAAAAGTCATTTACGGTTTGTAATCTATGAGTAAGAAAAATTTTAAAAAAAACAAAAAAAAAACAAAAAAAACTAAACGAACGGCAACGCACGTTATTACAATATTATTAAATATACAAGAATATTACAATATTAATAAATAAACATTTTCATTGGGGATATGCTGTTTTCCAACACGATCTACCGTTTTCGTCAAACTACAGTAGAATTTATCAACGTTTAATGTGATAAGTCACAACGTTCAAGGCAATAGAAATTCACGTGGCTTTTAAATAATTAAGCCAACTATATCATGTGCTTTAAGCTTTAATTTTCATTTTTCTCTTCATTTCATCTTTACATGAAAATATTTATATACAACAATTAAAATTACTACGCTAATTTTAAAAATTTACTTAATTTATTATATCGCCTGTTTATACGGAAGTTTAAGTAAGGGAAGTTTATATTGATTGATGTTGTGTCAAGCACAATTATTAATTAATTAATAGGTAATACAGTAAA